CGGCTTCGCTGGTCGGTAATTTTTCGTGGTTTCCTCCGCACAATGACAGACGAATACCGGAGAAGTACTCTTACAAACGAGCTACGGAACATACGTGATATTTTTCTTCCCTCACACTTGCCTTCTCCACTTCCCTTACACACACACACTTAAGTGCACTACACTTCCGCCCACATCGGGAGACCAGAGCTTCTCTCGGGTGGTGCGATGCTCCGCTTGGAGAGAAACAGCAGGCTGACGTGTAAGTCGGCGAGGGATCTCGTGTTCCACCGTGGGATGAACCACGCAATCTCCCGTAAATAATAATTAACAGGAAACTTACGGGACAAATGAGTAACGCACGGGAGTATGAACTCCTAACTCATTCATTAGTTGGTAAATACACGTTGGCATAATGAAAACACACAACGAAGACGACTGCCAACTGAATAAAAGATTAACCCACTAGAGACACTTACACGCGAACAGCTGATTGGATGATTGATAGGTGTTCCCGAGGCTTTACTGTTTCACTCGTCGGGTGCGCTTCGAGTTTTAAGGCACGTCAGTAGACAGTATATACCGGCGGCTACCAGCTGCGAAGCCGCGTAGAAATCCGTCATGTATATTGTTAGTCCGCTGTACGAGATTTGAAACATTATTTTACTCTAGTTAATTGACATCTTCTTCAGAGAAATATTTTCTTAAAATAATGGTCACTGTTTGATATATACTTTCAGTCCAATTCAAAGGAAACACAATACTTCCCTTTTCTAATCTTAAATTTTTAAAAACATTTCCCATAAAAGTGCACGCTTGTAGGTCATAAAATGTAGCAAGATGTAGGTTGAAAAGAAATTAAGCAATCAATTAGATTAGAATTACATATCTCATGTTTAATTTATTTAAACTTGAGTACAAACCATTTCCTGAAAGATTAAGTGAAGGTAGGTTATTTTATTTAGTTTAGGTTGCTTGAGATGAAAATGGAACGAGCTGCACTATGTTTGAAGGTTAGCTCGATGGTTAACATTTACCCAGTCCCTCTCCTGTTCTCGAAAACTGACAAGCCGAATTCAACCCAAATCGCCAAAATACAAAATATTTAAGGATTGCCAATATTCCTTCGTAAAGGTTATTAACTCGGCGGCGATGGGGTAACGGTTAGTGTATATGGTTCAAACATGACGGAAGTGGATTTTTAGGGCGAAAAAATCGATCGTACGCCTTCCTTCGGAGAGAAAGTAAAGCCGGGTGTCCCTTGTTAGTAGATTTACTGCATGTAAAAGATCCTCAAGCCTAAATGAAGCCACTGAGCTAAATTTAAATCGCCTGTGTCGTCGCTCAACAAATACCTCCTTTCTCCGCTCGTTGGTGAAAAATGCGTAGCGAAATTTGCGTGGTCAGATGGAAGAGCAGGAACAATTGTCATAGTCTCGCCACGTAAAAAAAGCATTAATTCAATTCAGTTACTCAATACCCACATTCATGTTCTGTTTAGTTCCGGAAGAATACATGACACGAGACTGTCAGATGTCTTTACATCAGAATTGCGAAGATCGATCTTGATAAAATGCGAAGTAAAGGAGATAATTAGCGAACACACAAGTACATGCAGAAACACCCGAGTTCACGGGGAATGTTTTTCAGAGAAAGAGGTCACCCCATACAACTCCTTAAAGAGTACACTCTTCATTATAATTTGGCAGAAAAACAGACCACTCCAAAGTAGAGGGAAAAACTTACATGTTCTTGGAATTTTGATTAAAATTCATAATATCGTTTAATCCTCTTTTTTATATAGAAAACTTTTTCTTCATTAAACTTTGTGAGTTAGAGTGAAATTTAATTAAGAATAATTAAATAGTTAAAACAGAGCAGTAAATATATATAATGCTCATTTTAATAGAAAAAGAACATACCCCAAAGAAGCACAGTAATGATGAGAGGAGGAGGAGCAAAATTGCTGTTATCAGAATGCATGCAAATTATTTATTTTCGATGAATAGAAGACGAAAAATGAGATTTTAGTATTTTTATGTAAATATTTTGAGCGACACATATTCATATTTTAAGAGCCAAAAAAAATTATAATGAAGTTCAATGTGTTATCAAAATTAAACTTTTATCAGATAAGAGTATATGCGTATAGTTGCAAGAACTATACAACGTCTTTCAAGTTGTTTTAACTCATTATTATTTTGAGTTAAGATAATATAATAGTAAAAAACTTTTTTTAAAATAGCATTTCTAATAATATTAATTACAATAAGAATATACAACAATTTTTATTAAAAAGATGAAATTTAAGGTGGAAAATTATGTTAACAACACTAAAATTACTTGTGAATTTCTGCGACAGAACTGCAGAAATTGCAATGTAATTTTCATACAACGTATTGAAATCATAAAGGAATTAATACCGGGAATTAATGAAGGAGTTCTTTACTTTTGCTAGTTCCTTTGATAATTCATGTATGCCAAATACCTGGACACACAAAACGAGAACTGAGTAATCATGGTGTTAATTCAGTTATTCTGCAATTATTTTTTATGACCTTCCTGACATCATTTTTATCATCTTCTTTATTCGTACTTCAATAAAATGTATCCGAGTTGTCCTTACGACCGTAATTTAATTATGCGATCTCGTAGCACTTACGGTTCAGTGAAGCACATAAGGAAATAAACTTATGCGAAAATGAGACGCCCAGGCAAAAATCAGTCTGTCTCATTTTTCGAAAGTTTTCGGGGTTTAAAGAAAGTACAGACATTGCGATAAACAAAATGATATCATTTGCACGAAGTTTTAAAGTTATTTAGCCATTACATGTCCTATAGAGGGCAATTGACCTCGGCGCCGTTAAGTCCTGGGGTTCACAGTCGTTCACCCAACCCCGATGTCTCAACTTCGCTTAACCTTTGTGACTTAACAAATTCGGCTGTGGACTTCGTAGACTTTCATTATATCCATCCCAGTATAAGCCTGGATGAACCAGGGAAACCACGAAAATCCCGGTCAGGATGGCCAGCACAGCGATTGAACCTGGGCCTCCCGAACACGAAGTCAGGTATCACTTCGTTCGATGATTCAAAGCAGTCCGCAGAAAAAACCAAGTGTTTTAGCATGTAGTAACTACTTCATGAACACGCTAGGGAAACCGCTAGAGGCAAGGATACGAACTGGGCGAAGCTGGAAGACTGCCCTTCCGTGGCGTGTGGTGCCGCCTGCTCTATTCCGCCGCTGCGTTGCCTTTCGCGAGATGCCGCTCTCCGCTCGCGCAGACTCCGTTGTGGGTGGAGGGGGAGGGGGGAGGGGTGTGCTTGTGCGAGCTTGTGCCAGCTGAAGGCGCCAGGGAAGCAATGCATCTCTGTCGCCTTGGTGTGCTCATGTGCGGTGTGCTAGTTGAATAGTCTGCGTGGTTCTGTGTGTGTTAGCAGCGAATAGTGGGTAGTGTGCGTAGTTGTTGTTTCTTCCTGTCAGTGTGCGGCTGATGCCTGTGAGCCTAAATGCAAGCGTGTAGGTGGGCCTTTACGCCTGAGTGCTAGTGATTCGAATGCTGATGTGCTCGTTTGCATTATTCTAATTAGTACTTCTGCCCGTAGATTCCTTCCTAATGTGCTGTGTGGCTTCCCGTAGCTGGTAGAAAAAAGTGTTTGAATGGTGGCATCGGCGGAAATAGCTTGGTTAGTAAATCAATAGTAACCAAATTTAGAGTCGTGTTTCAACTGGGAGAATTGGGACAAAAGTCATGGCAATTATTTTTGTTAAAGAAATGTTATCCCAGATAATTTTTTTTCGTGTAAAAGAAATGACGTTCTAATGTGCGGTAAGAGAAAGAGATGGCTCTGAGAGAGAATCTATTAGTTCTAATCTAATGAAATCAGTCATCTGACTGCCACCGCCCGAGACGAATGTAACCCGTTTCGAGCAGCGCTCATTCGCCAAGACATCCGTCCTCCATTGAATAAATGCCCATGAATGTCACAAGGAAATGGTGGAAGTTTCTGCGAGGACGCGAAGCAAACAATGCAAGTGACGACCTGTCAGCAACGCACGTGACGAAATGTGAGTGTGCGGACTGATATGGCTTTTGCGGTAATCGAGCATCCCCCTAATCGGACCTTTAGAATCAACACTATTGCTTTTAGAATGCTGTGAACTCGTATACGCTAAAATGCTTTGTAACATGAAACCACTACTGTTCAAATACGAGAAACACAATTTTGGTGTGTCGTTAAATGCCCACACACTTAGTTTATACCTTGTCATTTCATGTGTATAATTCACATTTACCACCCGAGCTCGTATTCTCAGCAAAAAATTTCTGCCAAAAGGTCCGCCGAGTTTTTCTGCCGAAAATTCGCCGTTTTCCGGCGGACAATTACATAACTGTCTTCTTACGACGTGCCTTCGTAAGGGCGAGAAAGTGAAATAGTTGCCATGACTTGTGCCCTGCACCTCGCGAATGCTCTGAGAAGCGCGCGCCAGCCCTCGTGGCCGCCCGCCCGTTCCGCCGGCGCCGCCATCGCGTCGCGCTGCCCGCGCCGTGCCGCGCCGCTCACGCGCTCTGTGTGCGCAGGTGATCGCGGGCGGTGCTCGCGGCCCCGCCGCCGCACAAGGGCGACAAGGCCGCCGACAAGAGCGCGTAAGTAGGGCGCGCGCGCGGGCGCGGGCCGGCACGTCAGGGGGGCGCCGCGCCGTTGCCACCGAGGCCCCTGCCCGCTAGCGGCGCCGCCGCCGGGCCGCCGCTGCCGCCTCCTCGTCCACGCCCTGTCCCGTTCGCCCGCTCCACGCGTCCTCGATCCCCTCCCGTGCGGCTCGCGCCCCGCGCCGGGCGCCGGGCCCCGGTGCCGCCCCGCGCCTGCCGCCGCCGCCGCCTCCCGTCCCCGCCCAGCCGCCGCGCCCGCGCCGCTCCCCCCACTGCCCCGCGCGCCGCCCGGCGCGCGCCACGCCCACCCCGCCCCCGTCCCCGCCGCGAGGCGACCGGCCCGTCGGGCATAGCGCACGACGGCACAGCTCACTCGCCGCGCTCGCGTCCCGCAAGCGCCGGCTCACCGCGTCGTTCTTTGTACCGCACTCTTTGTACCGTAGGCCGCTCGCGCTCCGGCACCGGGCGCCCGCCCCGGGCCGCCCCGTTCGTGCGCCGGGCGCCCGTAGCTCGATGTCGTTCGTATAGCTGTCGCGCTGCCGCTGTGTAGTCCCGCTCGCGCGCGCTCTTGGCTAGTCCGCGCCGCCGCCAACGAGAGGCACGGCGCGCGCCGCCGGAATCGCCCGATTGCATCCCGCGCTGCGGATTTCCCTCGCACCGGCAACCTTTCACTTTTGGATGCTGAGGAGGCGTAGCCAGTTGCATCTGCGGCCGGCGTTTGGGGAGGATACAATGGAATTAAGTTTCATATCATAAAAAACTCAACAATCTGTGTCACGCCCAGGTCATGAGAAAACTGCAAACCTAGTGAACGCTACTGAATCTTAGAATGGTACATTATTATTTTTAATTCATCAAGGCCTCCTTGAGAGCCCACAGTCTATACGAAATAACAGTTTGAAGAAATTAAAGAATTTTCAACACAGTTTAAAATAACAAGTTCTTTGCCCGTCATGTATAAAACCTTTTAAAATATACAAGAGTAAGGCCAAAACAACATTAAAAGTTGCCAATGTGTAGATCTCCAAGGCATTAATACGCGAACCGAGCGCTTCTAGCCAACCACGAAAGAAATCGATGCAACCACGATTGCAATCAGGGTAATGCTTTTTTTGGAAACTGTGCAAGGCTAAGGGAAACACTGCCCCGGGATGCAATCGGGTTGGACCCGCGCCGCGCCGCTCGCCGGGCCGCACTCCTCCCTCCTTCCTCTTTCCGCTTCGGGCTTCCCCGGCGGGCGCGCCGCCCGGCCGGTTAGGCGCCGCCGCGTCCACGTCAATTACGGCGCCGCGCGACCCCCCCCCTCGCCACCACTCCCCCCGCAACCCTCCGCGGATCCCGGACTCGGGCAGCTGCCAAGACAAATGACTCCAGTGCGCCCTGTTGCCGAGCCTCCGCCGCAGCGGCAGCGCCTGGGGAAGAAGTGGCCACTGCCCAGTCACTGCTAAACGCTACCACATCGCAGGCTTTAGCAGCCGGGGGTGGCACGAGATAATGCTCTTTCTTTCTTCAATGTTTTTTCCGAAGAAAGAAGCATCGAAAGTCCATGGAATACTATATTCTGATGTCAATGTATAAATATGATGTTAGTGTTGTATTAAAACAGAATAATTGTTAACATTTCTTCTGATCATGGAAATGCTGTTAACCAGACGCAGCAATATGCCGCATCTTTCATGGAAATATGATGCAAAGCGTGACAGCAGGGCAAGAGCATGCAATCGGGTCTTGAACGCAACTAATCCACCTACCGGTGCAAGTACCGCTACCTGTAACTCCGCTCCGATTCCGGCCCCCGCTCTGTGTGGTGTTCCCCCCAGCGGCTCCCCGCTCCGCCCCCTTCCCGGCGCGCCGGCCGCCGCGTTTATCGCCGCCCCTCTCCGTAGTCTCGCCTGTTTAGCGCTTCTTGGGCCGTTGTAAGTCGCCGTTTGTTGTTTGTTGTTGTTTTTTTCTCCTGCCGGCCTACGCGACTCAGACATCGAATTTTTCAAGCTTTAAAACTGACTCACGTTCATTCTATGGAGGATCAGGCTTCCACTCGCAGACTTCCGTTCTGTCGACGTCGCGCCGAGGCCGCGCGGGTGCGGGGCGCGGCGCGGGCAGGGGCGGCAAGGTGTGGCGGCGCAACCGCCACGCCTCCGCCGCGCCCCGCCACCGCCCGCGCCGCCGCCAGGCCGCCGCCTTTTCACCGGCGGAGCCGCCGCTCTCAGTACTGGTGTTCTTGCAAGCTTCTGCGCCCGCAACGCGCCAAGCGCCCTAACGATGGAGATCTTTGGTGATGTAGAAGCAAATTAACTATGCATCAAGGTGAAAAATAAATAAAAATGAGAAAGTTGTAAGAAAGGAAAGATGGGACAACTGCCAAGGCCACTAGGTCGTTCGCCAGCGGCGCAAGAGCACGCCGACTCACTGCCGCTCCTCCTGCAGCCGACTTGAAAGCATCGCCGGAAACAAGTGAAGGCCAAAGTGCATTTGCTTTCATTACAGAATTTCTCGCTGATTCGGTCTTGAAGTTCGATTGGAACTGTACCACTATTGAGTTTAAAAATGCGTTCATCGTTGTAAACCGCCCCCCTTATTTTTTCCCTCAACAGCGAGAGTTGTGGTGTTGAAATACGCAATTGAATTTCTACGGTGCGAAAAACGCGTCAGCGCCCGATCGAATACCTCCAATCTCTCTTTCTAGGCAGTAACAATCAGCTGACTTCCGCTTCAACTTTTTTTCGTTTTTTCGCTGTCTCGCGTGTAGGCTTCGCAGCGGAAGCAGTCCGCCATGACGTTGAGGACCCTGCCAAAGATGTACCTGCAGCCGCATGGCTCCGTATCCGTTCAACTGCCAAACAACACGCCGGCTCTCACCGGCGAGACAGCCACACACGCGACGACACCGGGTTTTGTATTGAAATGCTGCAAACGAATTGATGAAGACAGGAAACTTGGGATTTTGTTTCGAACTTTCCGTGCTCCGCCAGGAAGGCCGGCCTTGTTCGATAACGAAGCCGCTGGTCCGCCGCGTGGCGTGTCGTGGTGGTGTCCGTGCGAGGCGTAGGCCAGCGGGGCCGAAGCCCGCCGCCGCCGCCGCGCCGCCTGCGTGGGCGGCCGGGCCGGCCGCTTGGGCGCCCTTGGCTCCGGAGTGAGAGTAGCGAGGAGAGCGGCGGGCTGCGCGTCGCGCCGGCCCGCCCACGCCGCCCGCCCCGCCCGCCCCTCGCGCACGCGCGCTGCCGCTGCTTGCTTGTTCTTGTTGTTTTTGAGTGTTTTGTGTAAGCCGCGCGCAGTCGCACCGCTCCCTCACCGCAGGCCTCCCCGGCCCGGAGCTCCGCTGCACGCCGCCGCGCCGCCTTCTCCAGCGCCGACCGCACGCGGGTCACCACGATGTTTCAGTTTTGGCGCGGTGGC